GGTAAAAAAAGTGAATTTGATAACATAAAACAAAAAAGTAAGGAAAACTATACCTCTGAAATCTGCGGAAAACTCACGCAAATTGAGGAGTGGAACAGCTTCCGTACAAACATACAAACATACAAACATACAAAAAATGTTAGAGTTATTGCATTCCACTACGTATCTTAAGGAAGGATAATACGCATTTTTTCCTCATATATGTTTCATAAAATACAAAAATCATTATGGAAATGAAAAGGCCATTGCTTTATTAAAAATATGAAAAATGAGTAATACTGCATTGCAGCACTAGACATGGATCAGAGGCACATAGGTATATAATAAAGTGGATCCTCATGTAGTAGTTTCCAATGTGCATAATTTAATTTCTGATGTCAGTTGATTATGACGTTCAATGCTTGCTGCGAATTTAATAAAAAGCTAAACTATAAATTTATTCGGTGTATATTCTCTCGGATAGATTTTTTTGGAAAACCTCTCCATATCTATACACACAATTATACATTCTTTCTCCCTGATGATGGATTTCTTTTATGAAAGACATTTCTAACAAATATCTCTGAATCAAAGACGATTATGAATCGGTAATGAAGCGACGAATTAACGTTCCTATACAATAAATTTCTGAGGAACAAAATAAAATTATATCCCTATGGAAAACGGTTCTATTGAATTATTGTTCCTATATGAAGTACAATTCATACAGCATATGATGAAAATTTGTCATGATCAGGGTTGGCATGAATTAATTCATATGAATTAAATCAGTGATTTAATTCCTGAATTGATTCCATTGACTTTTTTCGAAAAAGTCATTAATTCATTCAAATTTTTAAAAATGAGACAAATTTCACTATTACCACCTTTGATTTTAACTAGTTTAAACTGAAAAATTCGATCGTATTTTGGCAAGACTTTGTTATTTCAAGCATGTCAGAGATTTTTACTAACAGATATATGATATATTATACAGTATCAAGTATCATCCATAAAGTCCATAACATATGAGAACAGGTTTCACAGCATCGAATTTTTTTCTTTCGGCGATCCATTATGCATATCCGATAACTTGAAAATCGATTTTGACACATGTCACGTGATCACTGGTATGGTGATAAATAAAAATAATACTATAAAGCGACGAAAAGTGGGGTTATATAACAAAATATCCATAAACATTTCTTATTAAATTGCTATTTCACATTCAGTTTCGAGCAATTTTTGGAGGAGAATTGGAAATAGCTATATATTTTTTAATATTCTTCAATTTTGTTACAATTCTCTTTTTTTTTCAGACACTAGTGATGTTGATGATGTTCAAGTTGAATAGAATTCCATTGCATGCTCACATATGGAGTTTCCAGCCATTATTTGAGAAAACTGAAAATACCTATTTTTATTTTTTTCAAATAACTTCATCTTCCCATCTAACCCCACTTTTTGCCATCGTAATTTTTTGAATTTACCGATGATCAAGTGACATATGTCAAAATCGACTTTAAAGTAGTCAGACATGCATAATAGATCCCCGAGAAAAAATGTTTCGATATTCTACTAATAAACTTTTTCTCCATGTGTTACGAGCTTTATGATGGATGATACTGGATCTAAGTATATGTATCTATTATTTTGTATTCTATCATCACTTTTAATTTTGTTCTGAAAAAATGACATGTTATATTATGATGTTATTCCGTGTTACATATTCTACAAGATTTCTGAAGGGAATAAAAACATAGTTTTTTCGTTTCTTTTTTTTTCTATTTCGCTTTGGGTAAATGAAATTTTTTTTTTTTTTTTTTTCATATGAATTAATTCAAAAAAGTCTGACTTAATTCAAAAAGTCGGACTTTGATGACTTTTTTATAAAAGTCATGACTTATTCCAACCCTGGTCATGATGAATTACCATCTCGATGGAATGAATTTTACAACAATTTTTTAGTACGGTTCTATGTATTACCTTGCTATATGGTATACTTCCACAGAATACTGTCCTAATCAATATTCTCGTATTATTTTCATTTTCCTGTTTACTAATTCGGGAAATAATATTTTGAATCTGTTCCCAAGACTTTGAACTGTTCAATTGCTTTTTTCTCAAAAACGGGTGAAAATATAGTGTTCAAAACAGAGTACCAATATGACGTAGAATTTATGTTGATGATATATTTTCTAATATTGTCTAATAATGAACTATAGAATAATACATATAATGATATTCATTGTATAGAAATTATACCTCTGCATCGATTTTGATAACAATTGATAAATATACAGTAGAATTATTAGCAAATAAAATAAAAACAAATCAACTCCAACGCCTTGAATCTTTTTCCCCAGCAATATTTTATTAAGGCATAATTGGTCCTATCACCATATTTTGGTCCAAAAAATTCGCCCTTAGCCTATATACCAATAGTTATGACTCACCCTGTATATGTACGTTCGAATAACTTTTTATGCTTTGAAAATATTACATTTTTTGATGACCTTCGTGTCATATAGTTTTTCTCGATTTTTTCATCATATCTCATAATGTAGGAGAAATCCACAAAGGATGGCATCCTTTCGTTCTACACGGTTTGTAAAGTGTACAGGACTGCCGATTGATACTTTCACCCTCAGTTTGTTCACCGTTCCACGTTGACAACGAGCCGTATATACTGCCTGCTATACCAGCTGAGCGTCATTTGTTAATTGGCATACACAGTTGGTCGATTCGAATCTCTGATCAAACAAGCCAATGGAGCATCAGTTATACGTCTGGAGACTTGCGAACTGTGAGGGTTGATACATCTAATTCGATTTGCCGGTTCTGCGAGATGCACACCCTCTGGTTGGAGCATATATACGGGGTGGTCACTCTCACAACGTACAGGTCAGTCAGTCAGTCTCATATCGTATCCTAGGACAGTCACCAATATAGTAAAAACAAGATTATATACCGTAGTGGAAATAAATAAGTAAATAAATAAATGAATGAAATATTTATTGATCCTTTCAACTATCGGTAACAATAGAAAGGATACGTCAATGTTATATGTCATAAAAAAAGAACAGTGTAAATAAGGAATTGACAAATAAGAAAAACGAAATAGTGAGACAAGATGAAACAATTACAGTGACTAACATAAATTGAGATATACTTCGATATTATTTCAAAATTGAAAAGTAGGATTCGAATTCCTCAACAGCATTCTCTGGCTAGGAGTTCCTTAAGTCTAAACTTGAAAACAGTCGGGGATCACGAGTTTTTCATTTCATTCGGCAGACAGTTGAAAAAACGGCAGCCTGCATTAATTGGAGATTTTTTGTAATATGAGTATTGGGGCTTGTTCAATTTGATATTATCCTTATTTTTAGTGTTGTATGAATGTGAATCACTATTAATAGGAAATGAATATTTGTTGATGAAAATGTATGTTACAAGTTGCATCAAATGAATTGATGTTACTGTAAGGATTCGTTTTGATTTAACACCTGTCTACATGACTGGCGACTACTTATGTCAAAAATGAGCCTTATGATTCGTTTTTGAGCAACAACAATTCTTGTTATATCCGATGCCTGACCCCATACTATAATGTATGAAATTGTGGAATAAACAAATGCATAGTAAACCTGTAATAATGAATCTGTGTTCAAAATATTTCTTAGTGTTGCCAAAATGTAGAAGTTTTGTTGATTTTTTTACAAACCATTTTGTATCTAATCCTCCCATGTTAAGTTACAATCTACCTATAAGCGTTCCTAAGAATTTAGATGAAGTGGAGGTTTCAACGGTAATATTATTGATTTCGAAGGTGATATTGGAAGATATTTTATATTAGGATGTGTGAAACTCGATTATTACTGTTTTGGTTTCATCATAGTTGGTCGATAACTTGAGGACATTTCCAAACTAGTCGAACAATAGTCAAGACAGAATGTATTGTTATCAATACATCTGGATTGAGATTGATGCTTATAGAGATGGAGAAATGAGAATGAAAATATTTTGCACCATGGGTTACATAGCCAAAAATAGTCTATCTTAGAGATATCCCAATAATCGTTCAACGCCTACTTTCAATCCATAGATGTGTACATGTCTTGGAAACTTATGGAAGATTTTAGAAAATCTATCAACCTATTCCAATTGTTTCAGTTCATACCTAATCCAACGCAATTTATCTTGAATTTATCCCTACGGTCAAATAGATTGTGGAAGTGACCACCCAGTATATGAGTGTGCTTCGGTGGAAGGAAATCAACAGAAATTAGAGGATGGCAATTAGTTGATGATCTTGGTTGACTTCATAAAAGAGAAATGAAACATGTGTCATATTATATGAATTAGAAACCAATTTACCCATTCTTCGAAAATGGATATTCATTTTCTTTGAGCCAATGCTAAGTTGTTTTTACATCCGTTGACACAGGAAACTGAGTTTCCTTGAAACTAGTAACACATACCAAATATGACCCAGAAACCATTGAAATACTTTTAGTATTGGTTTATAGCAGTTCCTCAAGCATCAATAATTCCTTTAGGATCTATAAGTGGTGGTATTTTATCTACAGATTGTTTGATTCTCTTTTCTGACTTATAACATCGTGTCCCATCATGCTTTGGTGGAGTGTTTTTCCACAGAATCTACAGATGCTGTTTCCCATACTTAGCCAAATTTTCTTAGGAGTTCCTTCAGTCTTTAATGCACTGTTAGATGTCCCGTCACAGACTCCAAACATCTCTGGCTCAAGTTGATTTCGGAAGTCTGGCTTATTCATTTGCTTGTCCCGCCAGAAGAAGCAGAAAATTTAAGACAAGATCCCAGGATAAACGTCGATAGTAACTTTTCAGCTCAAGGAGTATGGAATAGAAACATGGAGATCCTCAGTCTCATCCCCGTATAAACGGATGACTCGTATCTCTCTTGGTGCGCATCAACACAAAAAACTTCTGGTCTAAGAACAGCTGCGTTTTTGCCATCCAGATGCAGCAGTAAATCGCGATTAAATGCCATAGCGTCTCGATCGTTTTGCTGGAAAAAGGGAAGCCAGCGCGTCGTCGTCTCCATACGTCAGCCGTGCAACGGTGCGTTGTCGTGCAACGGGTTGCCTACCCTGCCCCGTCGTCATCCTCTGCTGCTGCGACGGGGAATGCAGGAGTAGACGCAAACTGTGCATAACATCCAGCCGGGAATAATGAGGCGATGGACTCGGAAAATACACAGATAAATCAGCTACCTTAAGTAAAACGAGCTGTTTTTGTAGGCTAGTGATATATCAGCTCCAGTCACGACAGAGGTACTTGATGAAGAATCTAGAATTGTCTGAACAATTTTTGTTTCGTGAAGCTAAGTCAAACTAGCTTGCTGTAACAGAATTGTTTTCTCTAACAATTACTATTTTGTGCTATACCAATTTCAAAAATTTAAATAGTCAAAGTCTCGATAGCTAGCCAATACGTATACTACGGGGTAAGTGGTTCGGTCGGGTTAGGCGATGATGGATATACAAATCACAGAGAATATTGTTTTCTGTCGATATAACGTTTCTTCTCAAAGGGTAGTGGATAAATATGTGTTTATGATATGTTGCAAGTCCTCTGAGTTTTGAAATATACTGGGTGTCCAATTCCAATCACGATGAACTTTTACTCTTCAAATGTAACGAATTGAGCTTTTCGAGTCATCACTTATTTAGATGGTGACAGTTTATGATCACCAGAAGAAATTGTTTTCAAGAATCAGAATCTAGTGAAGTTGTTAAAATACTATATTTCATTGATTCAACGATATTTATCTGTATAGCCTGTATACTTCAGGACAGTTTTTTCATCTCTTGGAGCGCACGACAAGACATTCTTATAAGGACATCGTGCCTACCCAGGGAGGATAGGGAGAGGAGGTAGGTGTTGAATTTTTTTTCAAACTTTTAGAGATTATAAGTTCTGGGGTATAATTCCAGTGGCCAAGAATTCCAAAGCTTCGCCATTCTATAGACGAAAGAATTTTGGTGTCGTTAGACAGATTTCAAGGTTGACAACGGAGGGATGTGTTGACTAGACCTGTCGACTTCGTCTGACTGGTATTGCTAATGATGCAATGATATCAGAGATTTCTGATAAGCATTTCCCGTCGAAATAGAAAAATGAAAGGTCGCTGACAATTCAACAGTGTTTTATATATATTCCCAAAAGATTCAACATCATCTGGAACCTGATCCGATCAAGTTAAAAAATATTTAGTTGCGGTTATCCATCTGAAGTATGCATCAATTCACCTCCTGAAGTTATATCGATTGCGATAAGCGATGAATAAGTTCAAAGACGAAATTAAGTTTCGATGTTCGTATAGGAATTTCCGTCATTTATAAGGAGTAATTTCGCTCCTTTGGCGATGAGAAAAGATAAAATGCACCGCTTGCTCGATAGCGACGAATGGAGCAAACGAAATGCGGCGTTCGAATACTTCACTTGAATAATTACAGTCGGAAAGATCTGGAATAAATTCGAATGAAACTTTTCAACGACGGTGTATAAATCTTTGCCGCAGAAATGTGTGAAAGACAGCTTCTCTAACGAGGTGTATTCGGTTTGGTTTCTCTGTAGATTTTTGAAATTGTGTAATAACTTTTCAAGCACTTCTACTCATCTGATTCATTTTATTTGATCATAATACAATATTCAATAAGCAGCATCACAGTACAATTCTTCAAGCTTGTTTTATAATTCATATGGTAATTATCACTGATTTTGAATGTGATACTGCATTAGTAATGTACCTGAGTCGGTTCTACCTCAAGATGGCAGTTGACCTTTCCGTGATGATAACAACGACAATATTCTTGAAGCTCATTCTACAGTTGTACCACGATTGTCATATTTTCTTCACACTGCTCAACGTATCCACACATCGAAGTCTATTCTTATATATTTCATTATGGTGGCAGTGGTAGGTACAGAATGACATATTTATACCTGTGAAATGACAACTAAAACGACAATTCAAGTGAATCCAGTGGCACAATCGAGCGAAACGGACCTGATGGCATGCCAAATGACAACTAACACCAGTCGACATCTTGAGCTAGATGCGGCTAAGACTGAGACTAAATAGTCCATCCTATTATGTACATGCAATTATGCTTACAAATGGCGTAGTCGGTAGGTCGAAGATATGGAACGTGGGAAAGTTTTTGATCCTAATTCCTCGAATCCATCAGTGTTTTTTTTTTAGTTAAACTCATGGGTTTGCCATCGTATGTACATATATTGGTTGTCAAAATCTATCGAAATAGAATGCATTTTCAAAGTTTTTCCATTCCTCATCTGATGATTTTATGAGTGAGCTTATGGAGTAAATGGACAGTACATTTTATGAGAAATATGCGATGTTGATATTGATTGAGTGAACCTGATTCACCCAAGACAAATGGTGTTCCTACCCCAATCACACCACTTACAAGGAAGAGTTCAATTTATCTTCGATTTTCCTCGTGGGTTCAGAGAGGTATCGAGCTCTTGATCATCGATTCTGCTTGAATTGCTTCACTTCTCCATTTTTGGAGAGGATCATGGCCAAAATTGTCGTGATCTACCAATCGATCCAATTCGTGATATAGGAATGAACCAAATGTCTTAGGTGGAGCGCGAAAAATATGAAGGTTGATATAGTGAATCCTTCGAGGACAGCCTAATATCTATATCTATAGGATTAAACGAAATAGCGCAGTCACCAGTTGACCAAACTAGAGCAACAAATTCCAGAAAATCCATGGCACGTCAAACAAATCACTAACGCAGCAATCTTCCCCGAAAATCACCCCCTTATCGATAGCATCAAATTGCAGCGCCACTTCTATCAGTAAGGTTAACGTCTAAGCGATCTACATAGTCCATCATGGCGTCTATCCTGACGGCGATAACAGTCGCTCCAGATGTGGATAAATTGCTAGCAACGGGAGTCGCGGAAGGGAGAGAAAGAATTCGGAGTTTTGTTATGCAAAGGCGCTTACATGTGCGGGAAGAAAATATCGCTAGAGTTGGACGTGAGCGGCGCGACAACTAAGTTGGTTCCACGATAATTCTTGAGATCGCGTTCCGCCTGATACTTTCCACATCGCATAAATTCGCCCGGCACGGGTACGCAAAAGTATTTTTATGTTACGTTATCGTTGCCAGACGTGAAACAAGGCGAGAAATACCAACGACTAGGACATAGAAAAGTCTGTCATACGGCTTAGGAGAGCGACAACATACAGACGACTGGATGATGGAATACTCATCACCTAGCCATACGATCCGACCAAGATGGAATGAGATCAACTCGGTAGAGACTTCAAATGAATATAATGAGACATGTCAGATAAGATATAGGGCTACGGGGACAAAATCCCATGTATTTTATTGTGATGATTCATTCTGGTCTTGGGTCACGTCTGAGCCCAAAATACCAAACTCCGTATGAATGTATCTAATGGACTACTATTTCAGTCATAGATGCTCGATATGTTTATAGCTGCTATCGTTCCATTCGAGGCACATATTATAGACCCTCCCCAAGTGGAGGTATCATAATTATGTCCACGATGCTCTCAGGAACACCCTCAAGATCGATTGAATGCCTTGCCCATTGAGACCACGTTTCATACCATCAGCTGCCAAGTGTCCACCTGTCAAAAAGATGTTCACTTTTGACCAAAATGATTCTTCATAACGAAATACATGGGCTTTTTTCAGACGCTATCATGAGCAGCATGCTTCAACTCAAGAAATTAGTGTTATTTCTATCTACTGGATTATTTCTCAGATTGGGAAAAATTATAAAATGTTTTTTCAACTCCTAAAGTTGTTATATGAGTCACTTGGACCAATAGAAATTATCATGACGATATGCTGTATGCTTTTGATAGAGTAGATAAGCTATGGGGCTACGGGGACAAAATCACGTGTTTTTCCTTATGAAGGTTCATTCTGGTCGAAAGTGAACAGGTGGACGGGAACAGCTACTCAGGTCGATATATCATAATTATGTAGGAGAATCCTAACAGGACACTGCCGGTTGAAAAGACATCTTAGGATGCTTGGCTTAGAAGAAGAAGACGGATGCAGGTTCTTCGGGAAAGAGGAGCAAATTATCCACATACTTACGGAATGTGTCACCCTACAGAACCCAAGGGTAAGAAATCTAGAAGCAAACATGATAGAGAAGAAGCTAACCTACCTGGAACCACTTCATATCCCCATTATAAATATAAGTCGATTTGATATTATTTTCATTATTATCTTCGTTATTGAGCTAGACAAATATCGAAACACTATCTTTAGTAAATCAAGAATAATTAGCGAAATAACCACCAACTGTACAAGAGGTGGTAGCACATGATGTTTACCTGAAAATTTCACACCAGTAATGTTTACCTAACCAAATTGTGTTTCTTTGACAAATCAACCTAGCAACTTATGTATTTTACTGGATTTTTTTTCTTGTGGGTACCCGCCAGCGAAATAAATCGGAAATTTTTTTGACGTTTTAATGACAGAATGATATTTTAAAATTTAGAAATCAACAATGGGGAAGACCACTGATTTTTTGAAACGACATTATCGTGAACTCTATACTGAAAAACTACCAGTGAATTAATTTCGAATTTTTTCATTCATGCTAAGACGATGAAACAAATAAATTAGTATGTATCCATTTCAAAACACACAATTCCTGCGCCATTTGAAATTTCATCAATTCATTGGTGTGACTGGTGCGACGTCTTATTCCCAACACGCCTATCGTCCTTGAACTGACCAATCACACTGCAACACTGCAGAATGACAAGCTATCAGAGAGAGAGCTACAGTTCGGGACTAATACGTCACGACTCCACTATCATATTTGGCTGTTTGAAATATCGAATGAAATATGCTGATTTCAAAACGATATAAATTCGATTCCCTTCAGCTTCAACTCATAATATTGATTGTACATAAAATGTGAATCATGATTCGTCGATTAAAACAGGTTTGCACGGATTTCTTTCCTCAGTGGTCTTCCCCATTATAAATAGGCTAAAGGTGGTTTCATAAAACATTAATTAGCATTATATTATCACTACATTATAGATTTCAAAAGATAGAGTATAGAAAAACAATGAGTGTGTTCATAAATACATCTACATTACACTACGCCACTAACAAATTGGGCTCGTCTTATTTTCCATAATGCTTAATGTAATGATAATGTAATTAT